TTTTCTACTCTTTCTACTCACTGTAAAACGTTTCTTGGCTGCTTTATGGTCTGATATGAAATGTTTACTACAACATTATAGTGACATCAATTTCAGTTGGGTGATCAAAGCATGACATTTTCTATTTCTTCCGTGAAAAGTTGCTTGCAAGTGTTTAAAGTGTTGGCTGCTATTTTGAACCCTGGGTACCACAAGTGTAGTCATTTGTAGTAATTACCATGACTCAATAATTAAAACCAGAGAGATTTTGCAGTGCATGTAATCTATTTTTTTATTATTCATTCAAAATATTTCCCCGTTTCTGATTGGTTAAAACCACACGCATAATTCACCATAACCAGCTACTGTTGACCAAATTTGGAAAGAAATTTGTCATATTGAACCGATGACTTCAAAATTATGTCAAAAGTGCAACCTGGTTGCAGGTTATTGAACTGATGACCGTGAAAACCTGGGGAGGAGGTCAAGTTGTTTAGGTTGTTAGAACAAAATGGCGGAACAGTTGGCAGAACATTTACTCGTTTCACCGCAAAATACTGTCTAAAAACATGGTAACATGGTAAGAACATGCTGTTTATGGTAAGAACAGCATGAAGACGGACAACATCTACTATTTGGGGCATATTTGCAGCACTTAACAGACCTTTATCTCCTAAACTTCCTGATAAAAAATGCATTATTGATACATGAACACCCATCAACCAAGGTTAGCATGATAAATAGCTTGTTTTAATTTAAACTTGGAATTATTTTGAAGGAATAATAAAGCAATAATATTGAAGTCGGCTTTCGTGGGAAATGAAGAATTCTGCAGATCTTGAAGGGTGTTATCCACCTTGGCCACACCCTCCAAGATGTGCCGAATTCTTCACATCCTATGAAAGCCGAATTTCATAATTGCTAATTATTTCTTTTGCAGGATTTTGCTTGCATTGGTCTTAGCAATTAAGACCATGAAACCAATCCCAAAGTGCTGATTAAATATTATAATGACGATGATGATAATAATAATCATAATAACCAGCCAGGCCCGGGTTGCTCGAAGCATGGTTAGTGCTAACCAGCGTTAAATACCATGGAAACCTATACATTTTGATACCTCTTAACCAACGGTTAGCGCTAACCAGGCTTCGAGCAACCGGCCCCAGACTGAAAAGCAAAAATTCATGTACTTAAGATATGTGGAACTTTAAAAGACAAGGTACTTTACCTCTCTGTTGCTCCAGCAACTTTGCCAAATATCTCCAGTATTTCAGGACCAGTTTTTCCCTCCACATCAATCATCACTTTCCTTCTGTCCCCTTAGGGTAGAAAATGCAAATATCAGTCACTTACCTGACTTTCAAATACAGTGTAAAGCAACAACAATGCTTTCATAGCTTAGTAAATAAATGATGGTAATAAAGAAGAGTAAAGAAACAAGTAGGAGTCCTTAAAACACAATATTCGCAGCAGGTCACCCATCCTGTTTGTACCCCTGACTGGGGCTTGAATTGATTGCCACATCAAGTTTTGTGTCGGTTTACGACATACTTATTTCTGGAATAAGTACTTGTAAATGATGGTAATAAAGAAGGGTAGCTAGTCAAGGAATACAGTAGACACCTGCATATAAGACCCTGTGGATTTAGAACCTCCTGGCAGAAATTTGCTTCTTTAATATATGGATTTAGCCAAGGCCAAGTAATTCAACTTTTGCCATAAGCATAAAGCAAACAGAATTCCCACCTTAAAAAATGGACCTGAGCCCACAATCACTTGAAAACCAATAAGCAGATAACTTTAAAATTTATGTCACCTGAATGAGTTGTATACCTGAGCCCACGATGCAGTCATGTGACACTGGTCAGCAGATACCTTTTTCGACAACTGTTAATTGACCATAACATGGACACAGGATGTCCAATACCAAGTTAAACTCACATAGTATAATTATTATGCCTTGGCTGGCTCTAAGCAAGTGTGACATTTTACATCCGCCAGGAGCCCATAACCCGACGCAAGCAACTTACATTCGTTTGTGTCACTGTGTTTTTTGACAGACCAGTTTATTTTTAGAACAGTTTTTGCACAAATTTTGAATATCTTTTAAAATCCATAAACCGGTCAGCAAAACCTACAGACCTAAAAATCATACTTTTTGCCTTTTTAATAATAATGTTTAGTTTTCCTTTTTGATATCTTATACTTCAAATGCTCTCATAGACAGGTGGAGATTCTATTTTGCAGGGAAAAGTAACCCTAGAATGTGTCTAAAAATAAACTAGTCTGTAAAAACGCTGTGACATACCCCTTGTATGGGAGTTGCTCGCTCCGGGTTATGGGCTCCTGCATCTGCTTTAATGAAGGTGTGGACATACAAATGGATGTACATATGGATGATTTTGTCAGAACAAAAATTTCTTGCATGCATAGATTTTTGTTACCCATGGTACTCCCCTGTGCACGCTTTGCGTCTGCAAGAGCTCTGCTAATACTAATACCCCAAAATACAAAAACCTGTTTGGCCCAGCAAGATCAAGCAGTCTCATATATTTGGATTTATGTGATAAAAAATTTAATCGGGGAGTGTAACTTTGAGATTCTAGCGGGTGTTAACTGTATAGTCTAAAACAATGAATACAGTACTTACCAAAAAATACATTTACCACTGGAATATTTGATTTGTTTCTTGTCGTCATGATCTGAACTCCTTGATTCTTGAATTGAATCTGAGGGATATCCTTGTAAATGAAATTTCTGGCAACATTAAGGGAAGAGAAAAGAATTGATTAAAAAGTTAAGGTATTCACTCCTGCCTTGTATAAAGTGGCAGATGTTGGAGTTCCAGAAAAAAAAATTAATTGTGGTATCACTGTTTCACCAATTTTTTTTGCAGTGGTGCGCTGTTTACTCTTTTTCTTGCATTGTTGTAGTGTTGATAGTCCTCCTTCAGAGGAGGAGGAGGAGGACTGGAGAGGATTGTTGAAAGATGGTATCCTGGCTTGAGACTCAGACTACTCACACTTGGGGTGGGTAGCTATCTTTCAACAGTAACGTGGAGTTCAGACTAAGGTTCTGTTAATGGCTTCAGTCGAGAAGGTTTGCAGAGACTGGCAACCTTTGATTCGCTCTCAGTGCAAATGCATCTTGAAGAAAGATCACGAATGGAAAGCAGAGCTATCGTGTGTTACCTAGGTGGAATTTGGAGGGAATTGGATCTGTTGGAGCGAATTTATGGCCGTTTTCCTTCGGTGGATCTGTTAGGCCACTTCGCTAGAGTCCCCAACCTTGGTAAACCTTATATGTAGAGAAAAAACCATTTACAAAAAACCATAAAACGGAGGACTACACAGGAGAGACATAACACACATTTTAAGTAAAGGTAAGCTGCCTTTTTATTGAGTTCCTTTCATTTTCGTAGGATACAGAAATGATAGGTTTTTTTCCCATACAAATCCTTATATTTTGAATGTTATGCAACAATGCGGATGCTCGCCGATGCTCATATTTCGAGCTTGGGCTACCTGTGGTGACTCGCTTTAGAAAGAGAACAACATAGGTGACAATTTCCTCTCTGAATCATAAATTTTGGTCAATTTTTCAATATTTCATCTACCTCAACAGCTAATGAACTTAAAAAATGGCAATGGAGGAGGAAGATCTTTCAGGTTTTATTATTTTGTGGGGATTTTTCTTGGGCTTTTTCATGGCTGTCTGGATCATTTTGTTGATAATGCCAACTATGTATCCTTGTTCGCTATGGAACCTGAGAAATTTCTTGTGAATGACAAAACCACAGCTTTTTAAATTTCACCATAGAAATCTCATATTTTCTCCCACACAAATCCTTAAACTTTCGTTATTGCAAAATATCATTACGATGCTCAGGAATTACGTTACAAAGGACAGCAGACTCACAGACTGCTTGCAGTCTGCCTTTTCTCTTAAAATCAGTCCAGTTCTTATCTCATCCAGTGCGATTACAAACCAGGATGTTATTATTTATGGATTGAGACGAGACAAGAAAAGATGGACTGCTGAATCTTTTGTAGTAAACAAACCCTCTGTCAGCCCAGAAACAGAGTAACCGATTGGTCAATTGCACAACTGTTGACAGATCATTGACTGGTCTGTCGTGAGATTGCAAGCAATAAAAATAGTCACGTGTCACAACCAACTGCAAACAATGGCGAACCAAGCAGTAAT